AGCAGCGCCGCGTCTTTAAAATTGAACACATTGTTTTCTATGAGTGTATGCACACGCCACTCGCGACTGTGTGCGGCGACACTGTTCAAAATCCTGCCGCGCCACTCACATAGTTTTCCATAAATTTACATTATATTTATCCAAAATTATTGTTTATGGACATAATGACTTCCTAAGCTGGAAGATTGTATTGTGCATCTTTCAGCAAAACAGTTGTCTTTCTGGGGCTTGAATAAAGTCTGTATGCTTTATATAGAGAGCTATAGAGTTTGCTCCATTTTGTCACACACTGAACGTCAAACTCATCGATGCCATACTGTTAAAATATTTTCCAGTTTACAAAACCTTTTGAGTCTCAAATGCAGTTTTCTTGAAACTACATAAAAAGCCTTGTCAGGCCAACAGAATTATCCCAAATGTTGTCCCAACTAGTCAAACACTGTTGTCTGAACAAAGAATTTCATATTGCAGAAATGTTAAGGCTTTGTGTGTTTCCAGCATGCATTGCAGCATGAATAAATGAGGTTACAGGAATATTTTGCTGTTTGCTGACTTCGTTTAAACTGTTTTGTAGTTGTTTTGTCATTATTGTTGGTTGTGGATGTTATTTATATAATTATGGAACATCGATGGAACGGTATTTACTGATGGAACGTTATTTATATATTCATGGAACTTTATTTATATATTGGTGGAATGTTGGTAATGTAAATTCCCGTAATGGTTGCAAAATGGAATATTCCCTTAACGATTGTATAACCAAAAAAAAATTTTAATGAATTTTCAGAGAATGCTCAGAAATAACGTTTCGTTATCTAAATGGAAACATTAGCTTTTTGTTTGCTGGGATGAGTGTTATGAACGTAACGGCTAGCTTTCTCCATATTATAGACTCCCAGCAGTGGTTTGTAGTGCCTGGCCTGGTGTGTACTCCAGTGTTCATTTTGACAGCAAATTTTGTCATAGTCTTTTGATTAAAATGCCATTTAGTTTTAGTCATATTTTAGTCATCTGAATTGCTTTTAGTTTTAGTCTAGTTTTAGTCGACTAAATATCATAAGATTTCAGTCGACTAAATCTACAGTAAATTTAGTCGGCTAAAATCTAATGGGTTTAGTTACAGTGCATTTATTAAGCATTTCTCTAAAGTTTCCAAACTCATTATATAGGATTGATATTAAAGTTTTATCATGATAGACACCGATTTAACTACGGTGACACACGACATGCCTTTATGTTAAAATTAAATAAAACCACTTCTCATAAAGAACAAGAACATGGTCTTCTTTTAAATGAAATACCAATGGTTATATTGGCTAATTATGCATTCTTTATAGCAACTTGATTAACATATTCTTCATTCTTTCAAGCAGACATATTTATTTCTATAAATAAATTTAGATTAATCTTTAAGGTTACTAACGTTTCTCAGTCAAGAGCAGTGCGTGATTTTCGGTTTTTCTTTTTGTTTATAGGCTAATTATGCATTCTTTATTGCAACTTGTTTACCATATTCTTCATTCTTTCAAGCAGACATATTTATTTGTATATTAACATCAATGACTCGGACAATAGCTACTAAATTAGGCTGCTATCCATTTAATCCGAATGCACGGCTGCAATGGATGCAATGTACTGATACACGTTCTCCCTACTGTTTAAGTTGACTTAAAACATAATCAACTGTGTTTACGTGAATACTCGTCAAAACGGACAATTCGACATCATTTTGTGTGTAATTCTCCGTTCATGCATCGCCAAAGAGTACTCGCACACTGTGAGAGGCGCTTTCTGTGTGTGTATGCTTCAGTGTCTGCGCTCAGAAAACCAGACCGAATTGAGTTCTCTCTTGTGTCGTCAGATTTATTCATATGTCTGCTCTTCTCTTACTCCCACATATTGACATTTTTGAACGTTTTATGGGACGTGCAGCAAGTGTATGTTAGCTTATGTCCCGCCGGTTCGTATGTACGCGTCTAACCTCCGAACCACGCAGCAGATTCGTTCTGAATGGATCTCTTCCCAAATCATCCCTCCCTAATATTTTCATCTCGTGTTTATTCGTTGACGAAAATGTCAATAGATTTATCAGAAAACCAGACCGAATTGAGTTCTCTCTTGTGTCGTCAGATTTATTCATATGTCTGCTCTTCTCTTACTCCCACATATTGACATTTTTGAACGTTTTATGGGACGTGCAGCAAGTGTATGTTAGCTTATGTCCCGCCGGTTCGTATGTACGCGTCTAACCTCCGAACCACGCAGCAGATTCGTTCTGAATGGATCTCTTCCCAAATCATCCCTCCCTAATATTTTCATCTCGTGTTTATTCGTTGACGAAAATGTCAATAGATTTACGTCATAGTTTTTGTCATTCAAAAACCGTTTTAGTTCGTTATCGTCTCGTTGTCGTCGGTAAAAAAAATGTTGTTGACGAAAATTATTCGTCAACGAAATTAACACATCCTGTGGCGTAAACGTCTGGTCTTCACCAGAGACATGGGCCTGCATGCACTGAGGGGCTTGGCGTTTCCTTTCCTCTCATTAGCATCATTTTGTTTTTATTTCCATTGATCGTTTATGAAAATCCAGACAACACATTTACAGATCTTCCTGTGTGTATGGAGGATGTGGCTAATGGTAGTGCTCCTTTGAAATATTTCCTGCTGTTCTGCGGCCGAGCTTCCCTCATGCTGTGTGTTTGATGCTGCAGTGTAGATTATTTTAGGCTACTTATGCACCCTTTTGAAGAACACACTGTTACTGTAGTTGCTAATAGACTTGAGAGTGGACAGTATATTTAGTTTAATGAAGATTCTTTGAAGATACTTTGATGCTGTAGCTGCCAAGCTATAAGCTAATCATAGTTTAAAGCCACTCAAGTACGCTTTACAGTATAAGTTAACAAATGTAGCTAACCATGCTATATTTGCTAGCTACAAAATGCATATCTTGCAGATTAATATGTATCTGGCACAAAAGCAATTAGGTTATCAATATTCTTTAAAAAAATTAATCAAATTCAATATGTTTAATTTACATTTACTAATAAAATTAAACAAAACCGTATTTTATTTACATACATAAAAACAATAAATAAACAAACAAATAAATGCTGTTTTTAACAATCATATAATATTTATAATTACTTTATGTAATTTGTTTGTTCAAAAAATATTACATGCAACAATAAATAAAATCATATTAATCTATTTATATTTAAATATAATGTTATAGTTATATTTTAATAATAATTTTATATCAAAATTATATATTTTGTAATCGTCTCTAATCTCCAGCTTCACAAAGAGACTTACAGACTGACGCGTGTGCAGCTTAACTCCAACTCTCTAGGTGTTCACGTGTGGACGCTGGCGTCTAAAGAAATCTCACAACTGCCATTAAAAGTGGACATGTATTGGATACTCATTATAGAGCCGCTCATGCCCACAGGCCGTTTCTAACATTCATGCACTTATCATTGGTAATCGCATTCAAGTCGACAAGTTTATATTGAGAGAAAACTGGAACTGTTGCAACAGTCGTGACTGTATAGATGATTGAGCTTAATACTAATGCGGGGCTCTCATTTTTGGGTAAATGATGGAAAAATTGTGAAATAATGACTTTTTTAATGGCAAATTTATCACAAATGAAATCCAAATGGGACTAATAACAGAAAAGTCATTTGTACTCTTTGTATGGCTGAATTTAATTATCATAAAAGCACAATAAATGTGATTATAATTGAAACTGGGTCTGTGAGTGTGCATCACAATAGTTCTGAATGGCTAATGAATTATGCTTATAATGACAAATTAGTGTTAATCTAATAAAATTCAATGCTGTTAAACATGTTTAATTAAATCTAATTTGTTATAAATGCAAACAATCAACCTGCTGTGTTAAATCCATGAATTCAGTATTAAGCCAACCTTAAAGCATTCAGAAACATCTGTAAACATTGAAGTTGTTTATTTCACATGAATGTTCACATATGTGTATTATGTATATATTATTGCAATTATTTTGTATTTTGATAAATATACAGTATATAATAGTGCTTACCTTTTACGAGTGCGCATCAGTAATCAGTGTAAATAAAAATATATACAAAATTATATAGTACATAAAAATAAACAATCTAAAATATAAAAATTGAATAATCAAAAGTAATTAAATGTTACATTTATTTTAATAGTTATATTCATATTTAATAAATGTATATGCATATTATTTTAAAAGAATATATAACAAATTATATAATACATATAATATAAATAAATAATAAATCTAAAATATGATAATTGTGTAATTCGTGATCAAATTATGTATAATTTATCTTAATAATTCTGTTAATATTATTTTATAATTTCACATTAACATTAATATTTTAAATGTATTTAAAAATGTATCATTTAAAAATATATTTACTAATAAATATACATTATTAAATATATTGTTTTAAATAATGCAATTATTTATTTTAGTACTTTTTTATTGAAATCCTATTGGTACAAGAAATTAGTGAAAGACATGAATTTTGAATTAATGTCTGGCATCGTTCACTTTCAGTCCATTTTCTTTTTTGCAGACAGAGGTCGTCTATACAAACATCCACAGGTTCAGAGAGAGGGTAACGCGTCGTGAAAAACTAAATTATGAGCGCAAACTGTGTAAGTGGCCATCAGGGGAAAAATGATCTGCTAAAAATGCATGATATGATCCCTTAAAAAACAGTAATTTCTCCTGCCTGCCAGTGTCTCCCGAGCTCAGATGAAACGCGGGCCGTGATGTTCAGGAAGTGAGCGCTGTTCACACAGGGACTGGAATTGGTTCGGCTGGGTTTATTAGATATATTTTGTCACAGTGTATTTGCTGCACAGAGCTGTAATCACAGCTGTTTGATGATGAACAAGACGATGCTCTTCATCTCCCTGCTGTTCTTAATTCCATCTCTCTCTGTGTTGTTTCTCTGGCTCCTGTATGACGTCCTCCAGCTACAGCACGGCATATCAGTGCATTTACTATCCTCCAGAACAGACGGCCAAGGCCCGCGAGATCCTGTGTGTGGTGTCCCAGCTGCAGCCGCACATCTCTGCGCTGGCCGACCAGCTGCTCCAGACGGCCCAGCAGAGCTCCAGCCAGCCTCTCCGAGACGTCCTCAAGAGCCTGGAGGAGAAGGTGAGACCTGCAGACAGCTGACACTCAAACCTTCAGCAAGATCGCATGCATTAAACTGATCAAAAGTGACAGGAAAGGCATTTATAATGTTACAAAAGATTGCTATGCTGTTCTTTTGAACTTTCTGCTCTTCAAGGATTCCTGAAAAAAATGTGTCATGGTTTCAAGTGGCGCAACTACTTTCAACATTGATAATAAGAAGACATTTATTTTAAATTGTAATAATATTTCACAGTATTGCTGTTTTCACCGAGACTTCATTCAAAAACATAAAAAATGTAAGAAAAAAATTATACTGACCCCCAAAAGTATAATAGATTTTTTTTCTTTCCATAATAATAATAATATTAGTAGTAGTAGTATTTAATAATTTTATAAAATATTAGATAGATAACTGGACATTAGGTTTAGGTGAAGATTCATTATGATATTATTATTATGATTATTATTTAATAATTTAACAAATATTAAAAATAGATAATAACTGGATGTGAGGTGTAGGTAAAGATTCATTATGATATTAACATGACTCATCAAAAAACCCTTGAAAGACCATTTTAGCCAATGTCCTTGAATTTATTATTATTATTATTATTTATTTATTCATTCATTCATTCATTCATTATACAAAAATAGTTTTTTATTTTTCAGGATAATAACTGGACGTGGGGTGTAGGTTCATTATGGTATTATTATGACTCATCAAAAAAACCTTGAAAGACAATTTTAGCCTTGAGTTTGTTATTATTTAATTTTTTCATTATTTTTATTTTAGATTATTATTATTGTTCATTCATTTATATATATATATATATATATATATATATACTTTTTTTTTTTGTACGATAATAACTGGGGGTGGGGTGTTTTTTTTT